TTCTTGTCGTTCTGTTTGCTCACACCCTCTCCCGCCCACTAGCGTGAAGTTTATTCAGGTAGTGGGTGGACAGAGATCAAACTACAAGATTCAGGGACCGACTCAGGGTGATTGATAGTCTCGTAACACGTGACTCGTACTGGCTTAACTACCGGTGAGCATTGCACAAGTGTTACTTGAAACCAAGTGACTTGAAATGCAATGTCCGTGTCGTTCATTCACTCGTGAAGTTTTGCATGGCAAGTAAGGAGGTAGCCGCCAGCCTCCAATTTCCCCGACCAAAGGGGTGTCCATGATTTGTTCATCGAAATCCAATGCACAGAACATGAGCAAAGTCCATGCGCCCGACCTGTGGGGCAGCGCCGTCGCGCTGGTGCGGGTGGCCAGGAGCGGAGACGTGAGGCAGACATTGGATGTTCGGGACGGTTGGCTGGCTGGCGAAGGGCACGTCACACAAAAGCGGCACCTGCCACCCCGCCTCCCGTCATCAACCCCCTTAGAAGCCTCCCGTCCGCCCGCGTCCTGCTCCCAGCCCTGCGGGCCCTGGCAAGCGAGCCGCTCCACCGGTGCACACACGCCCCAGGCCGCGCGGATGGATCCCTACGCGCTGGGCCCAGATTCGATTCCTTGGGCGATCCGCGCTGCCCTCCTGGTCGTCTACGGCCTGGGCTCGGCGTGGTGGGTGAGGGCGGTGGGCCAGCACATGCGCGCGGGCCTCCTGCCCGCGGCGCTGCTGGCCCCCGTGCTGATTGCCAACGCCGCCGTGCCGCTGATGTTCGAACCGGACAAGGAGGTGCTCTCCATCGCCGTGCTGAGCTTCATCTTCTCCTGGCTCGCCAACGCCAAGGTGGGTGTGGTGGGTGGGTGGGTGGGGAGTGGGGGGTGGGGGGGATGATCTGTGACCGCATCCCACATTTTGATGCGGCATTCAACGCAGGGACCCATAGCTCACATCGCTTCGGTCTTGGCTGTGACTGCAGATGGTTGCGTTTTATCTCGGCCGGGGACCACTGGCGCGGCACCTGGACTCTGGATTCCTCCCCTTCGCCGCATTCCTGCTTCTGCCCCTGTTGCCAAAGGACACTGCGCACGGCGAGGGGCTCCGCGACAAGGAGGCCACAGCCAGGCGCGTGTCGTCCAAACACGCCACGCTGGCGCTGGGCAAGGCTGTACTCCTGATGGCCGTCTGCTTGGCACTGGCGAACGTCGACATGCCGCACGTCCCCCGCGACCTGTTGTACGCGCTGGGAATGTACGGCCTGCTGGGTGTGATCATGGACGGCACGTGCTCCCTGACGTGCATGTTTGGGCTGGAACTGGCACCTCATTTCGACAAGGTGAGTGGATGCATGGAGCTTTGGGTGAAGAGGCGAGGATCCCTCTTCCAACACCAACCACGTCTTTCTGCCTCTTGCTGTTCCGATGGACATAGGCGTCCAGTTGCTGCAACCAAGCGCTTCGGCACATTCGAGTCTTGCTGGGTAACGAGGCTGTTTCGGGCAGTGGGGCGGGTTTCGTCGCAACCAGAATTGTGGGCACAATCTGATGAACATTCTGATGAACAGCTTGCATCCAGAGTATACATCCACGATATACCTTGTCATTCCCAAGGTGCCCCCGGTCCCCACAAAGCTCGAGGATGGGACTTCATGCACTCCTCGTAGACGCCAGATCATGCAAGCTTGCTTGTAGGCTTGCAAAAAGGGCGGCCTGCTGAATCTGGCTTGCACTGCAGAAACTGCCATGTCACAGCCTTTGTGTGTATTCCTCCGCAGCCTTGGCTCTCCACGTCAGTGGCAGAATTCTGGGGCAGGCGGTGGAATCTCGTCGCAGCAGACTCACTCAGGGCACTGGCGTTCGACCCCCTACGCGAGGGCAGGCTGTTCCGGGTGTCCCCCAAGCCAGCACAACCCAGGAGTGCCTCTTCACACCTCCTTGCCACAATGGTCGGTGTCCTGCTCACGTTCGCCCTCAGTGGCTTGTTCCACGGCGCGACGTTCTGGCACCTAACACGCACCTTTGGATGGAGGTGGCTGGCGTTCTTCTGCCTCCAGGGACCACTGGTGATTATAGAGAGGTTCATCGTGAGACGGCTGTGGCCGAAGATGCCACAGATTGTAGCAATCCTTTATGCAATAGCGGCTCTGGAACTGGGAGGGCGCTATTTGTTCATTGCCCCTGCAGAGGACATGGGCCTGGACAGAAAGGTCGTGAAGGCGATTCTCGATCTGGGGGCTGGAATGTTTGGCTCATAATACCTGTATGGGACAGAAGATGGCACCATGTTGCTAAAGGGCGGTTTATTTGTATTCTTGTCTGATAGTAGAGGACAGCCCAAGGGGCCAGCCCAGGGCCGATCAATAAACTGCAGCTGCTATGGATTTCATTGTACTGATTTCTTTTCATCCATTGGTTTATGTTATGTTCTCGGTGCATGATATTCTTGCATCTGTATTGCCTATTCATGCTGGACGCGGTACAAGTGGGGAGGCACATATTCAGCAAAAGAAGTTGTTTGGAACAATCCGTATTGGGCGACGTGTCAGACTACAAGAGCACGTGTCCCATCACCTTGCATGCTATTCTGGCACATCAATTTTCCATGCTGTAGTGCTGATCCCCATTCAAAGGGGGTGACCCAAACTTGTGCTCGGTGCATGATATTCTTGCATCTGTATTGCCTATTCATGCTGGACGCGGTACAAGTGGGGAGGCACATATTCAGCAAAAGAAGTTGTTTGGAACAATCCATATTGGGCGACGTGTCAGACTACAAGAGCACGTGTCCCATCACCCTGCATGCTATTCTGGCACATCAATTTTCCATGCTGCAGTGCTGATCCCCATCCAAAGGGGGTGACCCAAACTTGTGCTTGGTGCATGATATTCTTGCATCTGTATTGCTTAATAGTGCTGGAAGCAGCACATGTGGGGAGGCACATACTCAGCAAAAGAAGCTGTTTGAAACAATGCATACTGTGCGACGTGTCAGACTAGAAGAGCACGTGTCCCATCACCTTGCATGCTATTCTGGCACATCAATTCTCCATGCTGCAGTGCTGATCCCCATTCAAAGAGGGTGACCCAGAGTTAGTCTTCAGGCTAAGTGCCTCAGACCTCAGGCACAAGCCGCCTTGTGTATCAGCTCCAAACACAGGTGGACACTGATGCCATGACAATACTATTGCTGTCTCAAGTGTGCCTCCTTTCTTGAATGCTCGCCTGTGAAGCCCAGAAGGCCTTCCTGTAGGAGAGCTCCTCTGCCTCTTGATGGCCAACTTCTTCAACTCAGTTGTTGGTGGTCATGTGGTGGACGCTCTCCTAAAAGTTGTGGCAAGGGGCTAGGACGTGTTCTGCCCAAGTCAAGTTCATGAGATGCAGAACTCGTCATTGTTACGCTAAGAATGCATAGTCGTGGGAACATACAGGTGCCCGCAATCGCTTTTACGCCACAAAGGCGACTGTTTGGTCACTGACCAAATACTGCAAACGCAATCAAAGCGACAATTCATTCACCACACTACAAGTGTGGTATCACATGCAGTTTGGAAATTCTGCCAGATCTTCATGGAGCACAATGCTTGTGCCGCACTTTGGGACTTTGCAAGTTCGCCTCGGCCTACAAGGCCAAGAAATGCCAACTCCACTGCAGCTGAAGCCAAGGGTCACACGAAGGGATGCACATTGGGAGCAAAAACATCACCCACCAAAAGTAGCCTCCCATTTTCTTGGAGACGGAGCTGCACCGGCCAATCATGGCGCGTCCATTACTTGGAGGAGATTTTCTACATACGCCGATCAAATACCAGGCATTGGGCATTTTCAAGGTCAAGGCATCTTCAAGTTGTTTTGGGCCATACAAAATGGAGGAATCGAACCTGCCAGTCCCCTACATGACCCCATTTTCCTGCATCCTCTCCGTCTCTTCCCAGCCTGGCGTCCGGGCATCCCATCCGCCCAATCTGCGCGTCCTCCCCCCCCCCCTCTCCCCTCGCGGCCCTGGCATCACCTCTTGTGGTTCTGCTTGTAGATCTTCGACTTGACGATCTTCTTCACCCTCCTGACCACGGCGTCGTCCAGGTCGGGCCTGCCCGCGCCCTTGAGTGTCTTCTTCAGGCACGCCTGGTACGCGCCGTAGTTCCCCTTCTTCACCTTCTTCGTCTTCTTGCCCAGCGCCGGCGTGTTGGCCTTGTCGCCCAGGCTGGTGGTCACCACCACGCCCTCATCCTTGTCGGGCGCCGCCTGGATGTCGATCGTGGTAGGATGAACCAATCCAGAGAACTTCTGGCTGCGGAGGCCCATCAGGTTGCCGGGCTCCCTGGACAGGACGGCGCCATTGAAGCCCTTGACACGGAAGGCGTTCCTGTTGGCCACGCAGCTCCACAGCAGCTCCGGGGACACCAGGGGAAGTTCCAGGCTGCCAGTCGACATCGCCTTGACTCTGGACAGCCTGCTGGGCAGCGCGAACAGGTGTGAAGTTGCGATCGGTGAGGACGACGATGCGCCAGGATCAAAGGGCCGCAAGATTCATTTTCTCCTCACGTTTCCGAAGATCGCGCCTCGGTACTGATTACCGGAGAGGTAAGGAAGCATTGAGCGCACGAAGACGACTCCGCTCGCGCGGTCCAGATCGCTGTGGAGCCAGGTCAATGGATCGAAGCCGAGCGCCCAAGGCAGTGGAAGCAAATCTCAGCAATCGCAGATACCCCGATTCCCAGGGGTTCTCTGTGCGCCGGATTCCCTCCCACATCAACGCTGACTTTGTGCAGACCAGACACGCACCTCCTGCTGCTCTGTCCTGGAGCGAACGCGCAACCTCCGCCGCCGCCTCCACGCCGCGCCGACACAAGAAGCGGAAACGATTTTTTCACCGGAAGAAAAAACACCACTGACGCGAGCGACACGTCCGCACGCCTCACAGTTGGTCTTTGCCAAGACGCCCCTCCAGAGCGGAGCGGTGATTCTGGCAGCACGCAACACGACGACCCCACCAGCCCAGCATGACGGGGCTCGCCAGCGACGGCGCTGTGGACGGCGCGACCAAGGGCCGAGATGCCGACCAGCCTTCGGCGTCGCCATCCTCCCCGGCGCGCGCCTCTCTTCTTGGCGCGCACGACGCATTCCACGACCGCCTGCTGCGGCTGCCCATCTTCGCGCGCGTGAGTTGGCCCGCGCCGTTGCCATTGCGCCCTTTTCTGCTTGTCCTGGATACTCTGCGAAGAATCAGCTTGCATATCCAGGGAGAGTTTGCGAATCCTTTATTGAAGATAGGGAGCCCAGTGCGTGCGTGTTTCTGTTTGTGGCGGTTGGTGGGTAGTCGTGGAGGCTGCCTGCGCTTGTCGTGGCCACCTCACTGCGTTCCCAGTGTTGCATTTGCCTTCGGCAACGAAATGCAGCCCTGGCAGCTTGCCCAGGCGATAGCAGGCCCGCCCGAAGCCAAAATATTTTTTTGTGCGCCTCTTTGCCATCTCGCCTGCCGTGACACTCAATTCCTGCCAGGCCAATACCTCCGTGCTGACGTCTTTAGGAAGATATGCATCTTGGGCTTCTGGACGTGGTGGTGTGTTTGCATCCCTTGCGTTCCGATTTTTGTTTTCAGCCCCCTGTTTGCAGCCATGGTTGCGGGACACTCGCGGCGGTGCCAGAGTTCAGGTGGCTAGAATTCACGCGGTGCTAGAGTTCGCGCACTGCTTGTCGCCTTGATAGGATGCGAATGAGACGTTGACGTCCCCGGGGGGCGCGCATTTTCACAGGAGCTGGCTGCAGGTGGGATCGCGGGCATGATCGGGAAGACATCGGTGGCTCCATTGGAGAGAGTGAAGATCCTGTTCCAGGTGCTGGCCGAGTTGCAATTCGGACATGCAATACGGAAGTGCAAACCGACCAATTGGATGTGCCCGATGGACCTGTTGAGTGGTATTGAACGAAATCGACCATTCGGATGGAATTGTGTGGAACAGAATTGAACGTGCATGCGGACCAACTGGATGTGCCTGAGTCAGGACGTCTTGCTCCTGGTTCTTGCTTTGGTTGAGGAAAGGGCCCTGAGCTTCGACCGCTTCTGCCCCTGGGGAATTTGTGTTCTTATCCCTGCCTGGCACAACATGTACATGTGCTTGGACGGCTGCTCATCGGCTTTGTGCTGCAGACGGGAAGAATGCAAGGCAATGGTGTGGGCGAGACGTTGTTGCAGCTCTTGCGGACAGAGGGACTCCTAGGTCTTTACAAGTAAGGATCACTGCGGCAGTTTGGGGCTGTTGGATGTGCCTGATTTTGCGATTCCTAACTGCATGCCAAGGGCTGAATTGAACTGACACTGTGTACATTCAATGTGGAGCAACAGAAAATCGAGTCACGTGCAACGCATTAGGTGTATCAGCATATCAAGCAGAAATGACGCTGCCCATGTGACCAATACCAATATGGCGGCACTAGCAAGAACAAGACTTACATTGCTTGCACATGCTGCCAGAACCACCACTGCCCTCCACTTTTTTGTGGTGCACTGCTGCTGTTGTTGCACCAATGCACTTAAGATAATCAACATGAAATTTCAAGTGCAGCAGCAACGCCCGTGTTTTGCTCAATCGTGCCAGGCCAATCCAGTCCCAAATGTAGGGTGGATTGAGCTGAAGAGTGTGCACTGCTTGTGTTCCACTGGAGCTGCAGTGAACCATGCAATTCGGTTCAATCGGGCCCTGCAGAGCAACATAGCTATTTTGAGCAAAGTATCCAAGAAGCTACCCAGGAAATGAGGTACATACAGCAAAAACTGGAAATCCCCTTGTCAAACAGATGAAAGGTGACCAGCTTTCAATTGTTTGGCTGAAGAAATTGTCCAAGCAGACAAAGGCTGCTTGCATGCCATGAACTGGGCAACATTGCATGTGAGAGACTGTGTACGTGCAGATGCATGGCCAACCAAATGGAAAAGCACTCCTGGTTCAACTCATTCACGTGCTAGCAGAACCTTTAAGGAACAGATGGGAATGCCAAGTTGAGAACGCGCTGGAGGTTCAAGTGTAGTTTAACTGCAAGACCTCAAGTCGAGTTCAAAGGTTTCAGTGGTAGGGTGCTCAGCATGACCAGCTGATGAGGGCCAGCAACACTTGCAGGGGGAATGGGGCCAGTGTTCTACGAATCATCCCCTATTCGGCTCTGCACTTCCATGCGTACGAAATATACCGTCGGGCCCTCCTGCAGCTGCCCATAATGCAGCGTGTCCTGAGCTCCTCTTCTGGACAGGGCGCCATCGACTTTGCTGCCGGCTCGGCAGCCGGAGCCAGTGCGGTGATTGTTACCTACCCACTGGACTTGATAAGGACACGTCTGGCCTGCATGTCCGAAGTGCACAGAGACCGGCCGGCCTCAAGCACGCGATGGTCATGGTCTACAAGGCTCACGATTCGGGGGGTGATGGGCGATGTGGTGCAGCAAGAGGGGATAATAGGCCTCTACCGAGGGATCGGTCCCACACTTTTGGGTATTTTGCCCTATGCAGGTAAAGTTTGAGCTTGAATGCATGCATTCATTGCAGCATTGCAAGAAGCAAAACACTACTTATTGCATGGTTCAGCTGAACTCCAGCAATCAAGCAGCACCTGTACTGCTGTTGGTCAACAAGGATCTTGCAGTGCTGGCTACTATTTTCGAATTGGATATTTCAGTCAATGGGGTTGCTCCCTTTGTTTTCACTCAGGAATTGAGACATTGAGACACTGGCTGGCACACATCTGGTTGCCCCTTGCACTTATATTGGCCCCTGGTGTATGTGTTCATGGATCAAAACATTGCAGATCACTCCTGCTGGCCCAATTGTGCCTTCCATGGCTGGGGCCTCAATGCGAATGGCAAATGCTGAGAAATGGCTTTCTTGTTTCACTTTTAGCCAGTCTTCAGTGCTTAGTGGCCAAACTGTGCAGGTAATGCATGCGCTTTTCAAGATCCCACTGGATGAAATATTTCCAGGGTCCAGTTTTAACGTGCAAGGTCAGTGCTTATCATCAGGACTCAGTGACACTGGAAAACTGTGTGACAAATTCAAGACTGAGCAGAAGTTCATGCCACCATTTTTAAGCTTGCGACAATTGTGCGTTGTTTGTGCCCTCTATTGTGTGTGTCCGCTCTTGCGCTGTTCCTCAGGAGGGCTCAAATACACAGGAATGCCTGGTTTTAGCAACTCAATACACTGAACACCGTGCGACCCAGATCGGATCGAACCCTCAACTGATATTGCAACCCGCCAAGTGCCATTGAATGCGGTAGGTGTTTGCATGGAATGCAGGCATAAAATTCTACGTGTACCAGTCCCTGAAGCGGCACTACAGGAATGCTCGGCCCCAGGAGGGGCGGCTGCCTATCCATGTAATGCTGACGTTCGGTGGCATCGCGGGTCTTGTGGGCCAGACAGCAACGTACCCCTTGGATGTTGTCAGGCGGCGGATGCAGGTGCCACAATACTCAACTGGCTTCCTTTCAAGCTCACCATCCAATGCGCTGGATGGTTCCCTGCGATCCAAGGCGGTGTATTCGTCCACCTGGGACGGACTTGTGACCATCAGCAGGCGCAACGGCCTCAGGGGTCTCTTTGCGGGGCTGAGCATAAACTACATGAAGGTGGTGCCTTCCACAGCGGTCGGCTTCACGATGTACGACCACTTGAAATCGTACCTGGCACTGAAGGGCAACCTATGAAGGCCAATTGTGGCGATCCCTGTTTCGATGTTTTGGCGAGTGTGTATACCAAATGGGCGTGCATTCTAGTGCAGCGATCCACCGTTTGTTGTGTTGGAAAGGCCCCTTCAGCCTTCAGTGACCCTTTCAAACTCCCTGCGCAGCTCCCTCCTTTGCACAACCAAGACAGCAACCGTTTTCTTGTTGCCGCAACAGTAATCGCGAGGCGCAGGAATTCACTGCAAACATCCTGGCGTCAAGTACCTAACGCAGTGCCCAACCTGATGCGGTGGATAAAAGTTCCCTTCGAAAGAAGCAGTTGCTTGACTTCGATCGCGCGTCAATGTAGGAAATATGAAGCGCACATTCCAACCGCTGCTGTTGCACAGTCTAACCATTTTGCTCCAAGTCGGTTGAAGATCATTGGAGCAGCAATTGTCCAAGCGCGATCGTGCGTGCAAGCCAAACGGATGCTGCAGCGAGTCAACTGACCTCCTTCCGCAGCCTCGCCCAAAGCGATGACAAAATTTTTAGGGACCCGGTGATTAAATGCAATTCAGCTTGAATTGTACACAATCCGCTTGGCGCTCGCCATCGGCACTGGGAGACGCTGAAGACGATGAGGGCAATCCAAGGTGGAGCTGATTGGTGCGTAGGCCTGTGGCAGCCAATATCTGTGCGTAAGTGCAGGTGGACGGGTGGCACAGTACACCGCAGCCTGCGGAAACAATCCTGTTCTGGCAGTCTACATGGTTCGATTGCTCCCATGCCGACCCCCTCGAACCTCTGCCATGGCTGTTTACAGAAAAATTGCCCTGCGGAAAACATATTCCAAATCGGTAATAAAAATGGAGCGGCACTGCTGATGAACCGTTCAGCGGTGGGCTGTCACCAACTGTCTGCGACTTCAGTCTCAAAGCCTGCCGCCGCTGAACCCAGTATTGGTCACATCACCACTCACCATCACTCACCCGCTAGCAACAGGCGCTCTTGGACATTGTTTGGACCCAGGGGCGCTCGAAAGTTTGCGCACCGCGTTCAGCTACATTGTTGACGGTGCGCACACGCAGCACGTGGCCGCAGGCCAGCGGCTTGGAGGTGTTGTCGGCAGTGAGCCTCTTCCTGGACACCTGGCAGGTGAGACTGGATTGTCATTCCATGACAGGCGATGACGAACGCAAGCCCCTAAGTGCGGGCGGTTGGGCGCTGACGCTGAGTCTGGGCAGGTGCATTTCCTCTTAGCTGCCAGCCAGAGGTTTCTGGAGGCACTGCAGGCCCCGGTTTGGACATTGGTACTTGAACACGAGGTTTGGTATTTGCATGGGGCGGTGGCTGGCGATTCCAGTCGAGTGCACCTGCCAATAACCAAAAGCACACTTGCCAAAAATACACTTGCCAGAAATGTCTTCACCTGAAGAGGATGGCGGGGGCATCCAACACAAGTTTGAGCATATTTAGTGCGCAGCAGGTTTGTGTTCGAGCGAGCGTTAGCACCTGGAAAGAATGTGCAGCCGTCTGGTAATATTCGCTCATTATTGCTTGCATGCATCCGTACAAAAGAATCCCTCAGGAACAGGGCACCTCCAAGGTCGCCCAGGCAGAAGCTCGGCAATGATTAAGCAGCGAGCTCTTGTTCCACGCAACGTGATTTATTTCTTCATTTGCCAAATGCCATGGTGCCGTAAGGCCGCCAAGCCAACATGGCCAGAGCTCCGGGCTGCAAATCCGCAGACAACAAGAAAAGGGAGATGCAGCAGGGCCGCCGCTCGTCGATGAAACACCAAACATGGCCCAACCAGCTACCGACTAATGCGCGCCCGCTTAATATCTTCCTGAACTTTAGGACCTGAACCCGAGCGACAGATGCAAGAATTGCAAACAAGGCCCCAGTCCCAGGGCGAGATCCCTGCTCATTCAAAATTCACCGGCAGCACGGACGCCTAGTGAGGATGATATCAGTCCTACTTTCCGTGCCCTCGACCACACATATATTCCTGCACTGCCGAATCCAACCAATTTTCCCGCCTTACCCGCGAATGCTCCCCCAAGCCTATCCCCCCTCCCCATGTGCCGCCACCGAATTCGGTGCGCTACTAAGCCGAGCTCTCAGCCTTGCTCGGCGGTCGGCGCCAGGAATCATGGTCTGCTCCCGCACTTTGGGTAGCCAAAAGCGTCAAAGTCGTCGCCGTAGTACCTTGCCACAGAGCGTATGCAGTCGCTCCCGCAGGCGAAGTATTTTTGGACGTGTGGACTGGAGTGCCTTGAATCCGGCTGTCCCGATTCGGCATCAGCCTCGCGCCTGCTTTCTCTCACCAGGGGCCCCTTCTGGTGCCATCCGAGCGTGTGTTCGATGACGGGCACCGAGGGTTCCCTCCTGCCGTTGAGGATGCTGATCAGTTCCTTGAAGTCGTCCTCCAGGTGCTCGTACGTGACAACAAAGTCCACGGCCAGGCTCCCATCCGAAGTGGTGACGCACTTCGATTGTGGCGTGACGTGATAGAAGTCGTGCACGTGGCCGTCAAGGCACCGAAAAGCCACATCTTGCTTCCCTACGGGACACCATGCAACTCACCACTGAAGCAATGCCCTGATTGTGCACTCGCAACCCGGACTTGAGACACGGCCGGAGCTCATTTTGAGATTCGCATCTGCTCCCATATTCGACAACCGTGGCACTGTTGCGCTCCGCCACACCGCAACTGAAGTCCGCAGCTGTGTGCCGCCCTCCCGGGGCCTCACCGATGATGGTGGGGTCCGCGCAGAAGGAGGCAAACGAGGGGTCCTCGCATTCCCCCTCGCGCCTCTGCGGCTCCCTCCTCCCAAGCAGGTAGTCGTAGGCGCTCCCGGCTCGAGAGAAAGGGTTGCGCACAACCGTGAAGACGAAGTAATCCCTCCAGATATCCTCCACATTATCGCTGTCCGTCGGGCGGAAGGGAGACAAACACAGTGGCGACTTCACAGGGTCGCATTCGCCACCGAAGAATAGATACAGACTTGTACCTAAACAAGGCAGCGCCAAGTATCCGTACCTCGCGCTTTGGGCAGGTGGTGCTGGCTCGATCAATTGAAGGTGGCGTGGCCAGCATCGCCGAGCATTGGGATACAGCGCTTGGGAACTCAGAGCTTCGAATGAAGACGTTCGTATGAACACGTTCAGGAAAGTAGGTGAATTGAAATGCTTGGCCTTCGCGCACAAGACAGTCCCGTCGCACCCCCCTAGGGGATAGGCCGAAGGGTTGGACACTTGAATACTATGCAATGGTGGAAAATCGAAGGAAACTGGGCGGAGGCCAAAATGGCCTTCCAAATCGGTGTATGAAGAAATCATAGGAGCTGATGGCCACCTCCTCGCCTCAATATGTAAAATTTCTTAATGATTAAACATTCTCGCAATATGGTGAGATGTGAAATGATGCAGATTTCCATCAAAACAGCCAGAGCTCGTCATATGTATGTGTAAGATACAAAAGTTTGGATCAATCAGTTCGCCTTCAGCTTTCCGCTTTGCCAGATGTAAGTGGCGCCAAGACATGGGGCAACGGATGATTCACTATGAGTTCTTCCAGGAGCCATTGCAATCAAATAATGAATCCAAGCCGAGGTTTCGCCAGGCATCCATGAATCAATGCAATCCTGCACCTGCAACCTTGGTGTTCTTCACGAAGATAAACTTGTAGCTATGATTGATGAATATT